CCTCCCCTCCTCCTCCTCCTCCTCCTCCCCCTCCTCCTCCTCCTCCTCTCCTCCTCCTCCTCTCCTTCCTTCCCCCTCCTCCCTCCTTCCTCCTCCTCTCTCCTTTCCTCCTCCTCCCCTCCTCCCCTCCTCCTTTCATATTCCTCCTCCTCCTCCCTCTCTTCCCTCCTATCTCTTCTCCCCCTTCAGGGTCTCCCCCTTCAGGTGCTGGACCCTGCAGGTGGTGGCGGTGGGGACTCTCCTCCTCCTCCTCGTCCTCCTTCTCCCCCCTCTCTTTCCTCCTCATCCTCCTCTTCCTCTCGATCTCTCTCTCTCTCTCTCTCTCTCTCTTCTCTTCTCCTTTTCTCTCCTCTCTCTCTCTCTCTTCTCCTCTCTCTTCTCTATCTCTCTCTCTCTCTCTCTCTCTCTCTCTCTCTCTCTCTCTCTCTCTCTCTCTCTCTTCGTGTCCAGTTTTCCTCTCTTCCACTCTTACCCGTATGTTTTTCTTGCGCCAGAAACATAAATATATGCAACTGTACCCAGGATGGGATCTGATTTCTAATCCTCTAGCGTCGTCCGCCTTATTCTCCATGCAATCATGCCCTACCGAGGCCCGGCCTGCTGCTCTGGCCACCACCTCCAACTCGGCACATTCTCTGTCTGGCCATATGCCTAAGATGATCATCTTCTGCCACTTTAGACGATGACCGCCCATCCACCCGGCGCGCCAGAGGACCTGAAGATTCGCCCCCCCCCCCGCCACCTCCACTCAGGGTCCGAGGAGGATCCGATGTATGCACATTTTGCACCAACGCGGTGGTGACGGAGAATGTCGCTCACCCGTGATCGCAACAGATGCTTGTCAACGTCCAGCAATGGGTCACATGAGGCGATATCATGATGAATACGGGTGGCGCGTGCAACCGTCTCGAGGCCATCGATTTGGGCATACTGCCAACGTAGATATCGGGCGGTCGGTGAGCGCAGAAGCAATGAACGTGGGGCGACGACGACGAGGCAGGCGGCGGTCTGTTGCCCCTGATCATGCCCATGCCACGCACCACGCATTGCCCCATCACAACCAACCGCGAAGCTGGCGTCTATCATGCTGATGGAGGGGAGGCCCCACCTTCCGAAAAAAGAAGAAAATGATGCACCTCCAGCGGTCGCCCTCCGCGCAGCCTCCCACGCCGTCCATCGGTGGCAGCCCTGCGCGCGGCCTCCTCTGTGGCCCGCTGTCCTCCTCCGCGGCCCTCAGCTCCGCCTCGAGAGCAGCCTTACGCGCGGCCTCCTCTGCGGCCCTGCGCGTGGCCTCCTCCTCTGCGGCCCCTCTGCGGCCCTGCGCGTGGCCTCCTCCTCTGCGGCCCTCAGCTCTGCCTCGAGAGCAGCCTTGCGCTCTGCCTCCTCTACTGCCGCCCTGCGCGTGGCCTCCTCCTCTGCGGCCCTGCGCGTGGCCTCCTCCTCTGCGGCCCTCAGCTCTGCCTCGAGAGCAGCCTTGCGCTCTGCCTCCTCTACTGCCGCCCTGCGCGTGGCCTCCTCCTCTGCGGCCATGCGTTGTGCCTCCTCCGCGGCCCTCAACAACTCCGCCTCGAGAGCAGCCTTACGCTCTGCCTCCTCTACTGCCCTGCGCGCGGCCTCCTCCTTCGCGGCCCTACGGTGTGCCTCCTCCGCAGCCCTCAGCTCCGCGGCCCTTCCCCCCCTGCTGCTGCGCTGTGCCTCCGCCTCCTCTTCTCCCTCCTCCTCCGCTGTGCCTCCTCCAGCAGCCAGAGCAGCCAATACGTCGGCCAGCGCAACCGTTCTTCTGCTCGGTGCCGACGCAGCTGCTACGACGACGTCATCTTCGTCGCCATCCAGCAGAACCACCAGGAGCCGATCTCCCAGTTCACCTGTCACTGGCGCGCCAGCAACAGGTGCCGACGCAGCTGCTACGACGTCATCTTCCTCATCCAGCAGAACCGCCAGGAGCCGATCTCCAAGCTCACCTGCCACTGGCGCGCCAGCCATGATGCTTGGCGGCCGGCCGTTACAGACCAGAGACGAAATGGTTACAGACGTGGACCGCGGGGCTCGCCGTCTGGCTGGAGACCCTGGGGAAAGACTACCCATTTCGGCACGCCCCTCTCGTGGATCGCGGGGCTGGCCGTTTGGCCGGGGACCCTCCTGGACCCCCTTGGAAACCTTTGCAGACTGCGCATCATTTCGGCACGTTCCTCACGTGATGATATCATATTCACACGTAAGAGAAAATATGACATACTAAAATATGTGATACGATACGTTAGTCGGTATACATCAGATATATCATACGCATAATATACATGCTGTGCCGTACCTCCTGAGCAAGCGGCAAATAAGACTGGCCGTCATTCAGAGCGGCCGCTCCGTTCAGCAGAGAACGCAGAGAACCCCCGGAAGGGCGCACGGGACAGGAAGATGAGAAGAAGGAGGAGGAGGAGAAGGAGAAGGAGGAGGAGGAGGACAAGGGAGAGCGGGGCCGAGGGGGGCCAGGAGGGGGGGGGGCTTTTAATCCCTTGTCCTCAATTCCTCGTCGTTTGTTTTCCTCCTGGGTTACGTATGTATGTCTTGGGTTAGGTATGTATGTCTTTGGTTGTACGCCTTGGGTATGTGGCATGATATCACGCAGCACGAATCTGAATATTCAGAATCGCTGAGACGCGGTTCTTTCTGGCTCTTATTGTCATGATTTTTTCAAGACTGCCTTACATGGCGCCAAGACTGCCTTACCCAAGACCTTCGGCAACTCTGAATCCCCTAATTCAGAATTAGGAGAGTCAGAGTTGCCGACGCCCAACTGACGCCCAACCAACGCCCAACCAACGCCCAACCGACGGCCGACCAAACCACGCCCAACCGACGCCCAACCGACGCTTGATCACGTCCAACCGACGCCCAACCGACGCCTGACCAAACCACGCCCAGCCGACGCCCAACCGACGCCTGACCACGCCCAACCGACGCCCAAACGACGCCCAACCGACGCCCAACCAACGCCCAACCGACGCATAACCAATCACGCCCGACCCAATGAGGAACAAGTTTGTATGTCTTGAGTTAAAAATGTGCGTATGCACAATATCAAGGCAGTCTTGGCGCTCTTCTCCTCCTCCTCCTCCTCCTTCTCCTCCTGGAGGAGAAGGAAACGACGCCCGACCACGCCCGACCGGCGTGGATCTTTGGGCTGGCGGCGTTGCTGATGAACGCGGCCGGAGGCTAAGTAGGATTGGGACGACAACGCAGCAACAATATCGCTCTTATGACATTGTACCTCTCGTATTTATGAATCTGATATTATAGTATGGTATATATATATGGGTATGACATTATACCATGCGGTCTCATAGTTAACTATCGTTTGTTTATTATATCATACATGGTGTACCTACATCATATGTATTATCTTATATGATCATATCTGTATTAACATGATTATAATACCATCCAAAAGTAATGCATGACCTCTTTTCGATGTAAACTACTGTACACTACGGTACAACATCTTATTTGATGTGCATCCCCCTTGCCCCTTGCCCACATTGGCGCGCGTGCGTGTGCGGGGGGGGGGGATGAGGGGGAGAGGTGCGGCGAACCGTTTAACCGACACTAAGGCCAGGCCAGGGGAGGCGGGCCCGCCTCGGCCTCTGTGCACGACGCGCCCGAGCCAGGCCGACGGTCGCCCCTCCGAGAGTGGCTCCTCCCTCCTCCTCCTCCTCCTCCTCCTCCTCCTGCTCCTCCTCGTCCTCCTCCTCCCCCTCCTGTTCCTCCTCCTGCTCCTCCTCGTCCTCGTCCTCCTTCTCCTCCTCCTCCTCCTCCTCCTCCTCCTGCTGCTCCTCCTCGTCCTCGTCCTCCTTCTTCTCCTCCTCCTCCTCCCTCCTCCTCCTCCTCCTCCCTCCTCCTCCTCCTCTCCCCTCCCCCTCCCCTCCCCCTCCTCCTCCCCCCTCCCCCTCCTCGTCCTCCTCCCCCCCTCCTCCCCTCCTCCTCCTCCTCCCTCCCCCTCCTCCTCCCTCCTCCTCCTCCCCCTCCTCCTCGTCCTCTTCCTCCTCCTCCTCCTCCTTCTCCTCCTCCTCCTCCTCCTCCGAGAGAGAGAGAGAGAGAGAGGCGGAAATCACATGGGCGATCTCGGAAAACCTGGACCCAAAGACGGTATCGTCTCTTGGGGGCGCGTCTTGTACTCGAGGCGGCCTCGCTCTACCTCCGCCGGCCTTCCACCGCCCTTCCGCCGCCCTCCGCGGCGGCAGAGGTGATAACTCCGTCGACCCTCGGAGGCAAGGCCATGTTCGGAATGCCTCACATGCGCGCTCAACGGATACCGTCTCTGAAGCAGCCTCCTCGTGCACAGGCCGAGCGTGAGGTGTCGAGACAGGCCGAGGTGAGAAGGGCGAGGGAGACGAGCAGAAGAGGCGGCGCTAATCCCACCAGCCTTCTGGGCGTGAATGGTCTAGCGAGCTCGTTACGCTACGCCTCTTCTCCCCCTCCAGGGACGGGTGGTCCCCATTCTCAATTACACAATCTGAATACTACTCTCCTCTCTCCCCTGATGACGTCCGGAAGATATCCAGCGCCCCTCCGCGTACTGTGATTTTACACGCAAGATTCCCGGGAATGGGGTTTTCACTGGGCTGTTTTTCGAAATGCTGCTCCCGCTGAAGCGCTGGCCACATTTCCGCGCTTCCATGCCCCCCCCATCGGGAGGCCCCCCCAGGGACGCGTGCGCCTTTTAAGGGCAGCGCACAGTGAGGTGCGAGAGGCAGAGCTGTGCAGGTGCTGCCCCCGGCCAGGCCTGCGCCATCGGACTCACACTTCCCCCCACCCCTCCCACCTCCTCCTCCCCTGACCTTCCAGAGAGCTATTTTTGGGCACGGGAGGCCTAAAAATCTGAAAAACTAAAGGAAACTGGGATGCGCGTTTCAGGTCGAGTGTATTTTTGTTCCCTCCTGGAAGGTCAGGGTCCTCCATCCCCCCCATCGGAAGCGCTGGGCGGTCGGAGCGCGGGTCCGCGGGGCCTCCCGAGCGACGGCCCCCGGGGCGTCGTCTGGTGGCCCGCGCGGCCGCCGGGGCACCACTCGCGCACGAGGGCGCGGACCTCTGGGCGCGGGGCAGCACTACGCGGGGGGCTCTCGGGCGCTCTGCGGGGGGGGGGGGCGCGGAGGTCAGGGAGGCCGCGCCCCTGCGGGGGGCGGCCGCGGGGGGGCGTGGGCGAAACGACCTCGGCCGCTCTCCTCGACGAGCCCGGGCCTCTTCCTCGGCAAGCTTCCCCCAGGTCCCTGACGAGGAGGAGGATGCAGCAGGCAGGGGGGGGGGAAGGGAGGAGGCAGAAGCGGGGGAGAGGCGGGGAGAGGTGCAACAAGAGGGGGGGGAGGCAGGGCGAGGCACAAGCAGGAAGAGGATGATTGAGGGGGAAGAGAGGGGAGCACGCGCTTGAGGGTGACACTGATGGAGACACCAGAGCAGGGAGTGATGAGAGGGAACAGGAGAGAAGAGGAGGAGAGGGAAACTGCACTCTGAGACAATACGTTGAGCGAGAAGCACTCGGAGGAGGTGGAGGAGGAGGAGCAGTGGGAGGAGGAGAGGGCAGGGAGAAACTCACGCGCCTCTGACGCCAGCAGCTCGCCCATGCGGCCGATATCGCCCTCCGTGTCATCTTCGTTGGCCTCCGCACAACTTCATCCAACTCCCATTCATGTACTCTCTCACCTCGTTCTCATGTCATGCGTCTCAGCCCACACGATTTCTCACCATCTATCTCTCTCCCTCTCTCTTCCTCCTCCTCCTCCTCCTCCTCCTCCTCCTTCTCCTCCTCCGCCTCCTCTGGATTATTTGTCGAAGTCGGCGTGCATGTCGCCCTTCTCCACCCCGCCCCCCCCAACACCCCCTCGCTACTCTCTGGCCCTGCGACGTCGTCTCTGGCCCGGTCCTTCACCTCGCGGTCTCAACGGGGTACGCTTTCGGGAGGCAGGCGCTTAGCAAAGCAGTTCAGACAAGACGCGAAATACTGTTAGCCTTCCTGTGAAAATCACCCCTAAATGAACCATGCAACATTTACAGTGGGGGCGTTGACCTAAGGAACTCCAAATAAGGAACGAGGCCCCTTTCTCCCATAAGTTTAACTTCGATGTCCCATGGGAAACCTCAGGAAAACCGAAGGCAAACTGCAGAACAACTAAGGAACACCGAGCTCCTCCCCAACGACAAGGGTTCCTTCTTCAGGGCCTCGACTGTACGCCCCCCCCTCCCCCAGGAAGAGAGGGTGGCCGAGGATCCTTTGTGGGAGGCACACTTCCTGGACTTGCGGCAGGATGTTTCTTACCAGCCTGGAGCATATCCCTATCCCTATGCTGGGCACCTCCTCATCACGATGCCAATCTTGGGGATTCCCTTATTTTTTGAGGGCGAATCCCTAAGATTGTCATCGCCTTTTGGCGTGTCAATCTCAGGGATAGGGATACGTTCGAGGCTGGTAAGCTTGTGCAACGCCTCCGTGGTGCCGCGAGGAAGGCCTGGGCCGCGAGGACGCAGATATGACAAAGCCTTTCTCCCCGATCGCCTCCCTCGCGGATGGAGCTCGCGCTTTGGGCTCTCGCGCCCCCTCCCCCGCCTTGCAAACTCACAGTCGATCGACCGACAGGAGGGGGGAGGGTGGGGCTGTGTTTCACGACTTGTGTCGCTTCGTCCCTTGTCCCGCCAACTCTCATGGCCAGGGTTTCTCAATGGGCTGGTGGGGATATGCGAAGCGTGAACCCCCCCTTTGATCGATCTCCTCCAAGATGGCCCCAAGATGACCCCCGAGGCTCCCAAGGGTGCCACAAGAGGCTCCCAAGATGCCCCCAATAAGCTTTCCTTCGACACCCCGGAGGTCCTAAGAGGCCCCCCAGATCGGCGAGAAGGCAAACATGATTTACGTCACTCGGGTGTCGGTCACATGTTGGCCACCTTGGAGGGGGGACCATAATTCAGGAGCCCCCCTCCTTTTTATCGATCTCTTCCAAAATTGCCCCCGAGGCTTCCAAGGGTGCCCAAATACGGCCACAAAAGATGCCCAGATGCCACAAGAGGCCCCCAAGATACCCCCAAGAGGCCTTCGGGACTGCCAAGAGACCTCCGATACGCCCCAAGAGGACTCACAGACGCTGTCAACAGAAATCCAAAGAGACTCCGAGAAGCATCCAAGAGGCCTCTGGCATTTATACTGGCCCTCCTCCAGATACGTTTCCTCCTCTTCCTCCTCCTCTTGATCCTCTTCCTCCTCTCCCTCATACGTCGGTTCCTTTTCCGTCCTCCTCCCTCCAGATCTCCCTATTCCCTATTCCTCCTCCTCCTCCTCTCCCTCCTCCTGCTCCTCCTCCTGCTCCTTCTCCTTTTCCGATTCCTCATCTATCCTCCCCCTTTTTGGGGTATGATGCCGGACCTGGCCCTTCATTCCACTGCATGCGCCCCTACATCCCTGGTCAGGACAACTCGCCAGGGCATCGCTTCTGGATGGGCTGGTGGAGTTACTTTTTTTGGTCGGCGGCTCCAAGGCAACGGTCCGGGAGCGGAAGCAGCGTCCGGGATGCAGCACGGTGCGAATTTGCGAATAAAGCCGCCAGTGTCGGCAAGCCAGTTCGCACCTGCAAAACGAGCTCGCAGTTGCACATGCACATAACAAAATAAACTAAATTCGCCAGCAAACGCACATAGGCGCAGCAGCGTGAACCGAAGTAAACGGGCTGCAAAAAGAGTGTGCGAAGACTCTGGTGGGGTTACGCGAAACGCCTAGAATTACTACAGCTGGACGCGAGAACACGAGACCCTCTGCCGTCCAAACCACGCAAAACATCCGAAGGCAACCTCCCCCAGGATACATCAGAGCATCAAGCAGACACGATCGAATAACATAAGGGTACCAGGGTACCCTCCTCCTCGAATCGACATCGATCTTACGCTTCGGCCTCGTCGCACTTCTGCTGGAGCAAAAACTGCCCCGCATGGTCGACAATGCCGTGCCCGGTGTTATGCTGCATCCTCAGGGGGACCTCGTCTGTACCGTCGCGGCCTTATCCGCGTCGAATCCGTGTCGAATCTATGTCGGACTCGTCGGATCCGTGTCGAGTCCGTATCGAATCCGCGTCGAATCCTCGGGGGACCTTGTCTGTCTCATCGCGGCCTTATCCGCGTCGAATCCGCGTCGAATCCATGACGGACTCGTCGAATCCGCGTCGAGTCCGCATCGAGCCCGCATTGGGCACAAGAGAAGGCAACAATTTTGGGGGAAGGCGGGGTCCACAAACATGCAAGATAACACGGTGGGAAACGTTTTCTTATTCTGCGTTGCGAAATTGGACGGAAAGGGGGGGGAGGGGGGGGGTCTGGCTCCAGAACTCTGCGTAGTGAAACTGTTTGGAGCAGTGTTTCCATGAGGGATCCTGTGGGGAGGCTGGGCCCCCGTGCTTTACTCCACTTGCTCGAAGCAGGCGCCAAAAACAGCCAGGATCTACTCTGTGTTAGGAGAGTGGGGGGAGGGGGGCGAGAGCCCGCGCTGATCGGCAAAACACCTCCTCCTCTTCGTCCGCCACCGCCTCCTCCTCCTCTCCCTCCTCCTCCTCCTCTTCCTCCTCCTCCTCCTCCTCCTCCTCCTCCTCCTCCTCCTAGTCGAAAGTGAGCCTGGTAACTCAAATAGCATCCGATTCCATGGGAAGCGGATGGCAAATAGCGTCCGGTATCGTACTGAGGTGGTTCAGTAAGAGGAATGGACGGATAGGATAGGATAAGATCGATGTAGTGATCTTTCCAGCACATAGAGAACACAAGCAGCGTCCGGGCAAATAGGGCGCGCGTGCCTTGAGCCAAAGGCAACGGCGCGCGAGCTATACTCCCGATACTATAACATCTCCCAAAGAGCTACCCTTAAAGTCGGGAGGGGAGGAGACGGAGAGTATAGCCGCGCAGCCGTTAGGCTCTACAAAGGCCGCGCGCACGACTGTTTGCAAGAAAACAGTGTGTACAGTCTGGCCTGACACCTGACTGTAAGGCGAGTTTCCTCGCAAAGCATTTCACGCAAATACGAGATAGCCCCTTCGGACGATGAAGGGCTATCGGCTCAGCTAGAGGTAAGCCAAACGGGCCATACCTCACCGAGCAAACAGGCATTGAGGCAAAGAGCCTAAATCATATAAAGCCGGCTCGTTGCCAGGCGTGAAATGTGAGGCTCGTTTCCGAGCGCCTAGAAGGGCGCCTCTGTAGTAGGCGCCCATGCTGGCAAATTGGACCGCGGGGGGCAACAAGGACAGACTAAAATTGATTAGACTTGGGTTTGTTTCTGTCCTCGGGACCCCGAAAGGGAACAAACTGCTTCACGTCATACTTGAATGACTGAGTGCCTGACATCACTTCCAAAAGCAGCTCCCAATCGATGCTTCCCTTTGTATGCCCATCTGCGGTCATATCTCTAGTATCACACCACTGCACGTTATGTACTATACCTATATCCATGAGCTCACGTATCCAGCTGATATGTCCAAGCAGAGTCCGTTCTGTCGGTATCTTAAGATCCTTGCTTGATAATGATTTATAAACCGACTCAGCGTCTATGGTAAGAGATACTTTAATGGCTAGGCCTCCAACTTCACGCATATCTCGTAGTTGTCGTGGAGTCAGAGCCCCTGCCTTGAGCTCGTGGAGAGTGATGAGCGCAGGGTAACACTCATCGAGGTTATGCGCAGCTGCGAGTGCCTCCGCAGCATAACTGGACCTCACCTGCAGTCGGTGTGATTTGCATAGTCCGTCACAGAGGTGAACGACGGATTTGCCTTGAGGCGAGTTTCCTCGCCGTAGTACATTGGCCCCGCGTATGCCGTAGCCCTTGGTCTCATCATCCCCCTCCCCGGTGAGCTTCCGATACCCTGAATCGGTGTGTATGCCAACTTCATTCGTCGGCTTCATCCGAGGGAAGGGGATGCGTTTCGGGCTGCTGATCAGCTTTCGCGTCGCAGCATTCAGTCGCCTGACTTGCAGGTTGGCGGGCTCTTGGATTTTCTGGAGAGAGACCACGTATACCATGAGCCAGATTTGAGTAAGAAGGGCATAGGCGAGGGCTCCTCGCAAGCTGACGAACAGAACATGTCGGTAATGAGTTTCGTGGCTTTGGCATCGGCCGCCGCTCCTGTAAGTTCTGGGTGTGTGATAGGACGTAGTTGCTTGATATGCTCGTCCTGATCCATGATCACATCCCCTTGGTCATTCTTAGTGTAGCGAACGGCGCAGTTCGTATAAGAGTGTTTGTTACGCTTGCATTTGCCAAACACCTTTTCGACACGTTGCACATACTCGTCTATATTTTTCTCTAGGCCTGTCATATTAATATCATCTGCTTTTTTTGCCGTTAGCAAATCTTGGCTGCATTCAAACTCAGGATCATAACTGGTCGGTGTAAGGCCTATAGCTCGTGTGGTCGTGCGAAGTTTGAGAGAGAACGCTCTTGGGGCGTCCTTTGTACCCGTTCCTGGTTTGAGGCACCTGAGGCAGTGTCGGCTTTCGTCATAGGATGAAAAGCCGGGTAGTGTACGAAGTACCTGGGCACTTCCCGGTGGAAGGGCGAAGCAAACCATGCGAGTTTCCTCGCCGGTGGCATGGGCAAGTTCCTCATAGGTCAGACCCTTGAGGAACGCCTTGTCGA